TCAGCTTCTCCGCTTAAATTCATATTCCTGTTGACGCCTGGGGTGAAAAAAAAAAAAAAAGTTTTAATTGTTTTGAATCCCGGGTCGCAGAGTAACATCTTTCTTGCCTCTGGTCTCGTTCTGCTTTATGGAGCTCCTCTTAAGGATAGTTAAACCGGCGGTTTTTCACTTCACTTCAGTCTCTGCAACCCGCTTTGCGGAATCTACAAGCCATCCGCGGTCCTCGTTACGGGACGGAAAAGATACGTAGTGGGTTAAATTCTTGTTTCTACCAGTTCTGAAAGTATTGACGGGGACTGAGAAACATGCATAAAATACCCTGTGCTTGCCTAATCTGTTTGCCTGTTGATGCAGGATTTTTCTCCGTAAAATGAGATTCACTCAACAGCAATTGAGTAACTGACTAATCGGGCACCCCGGGTTTAGCCTTAGGCTTCTAACAGTGTGGCACCACGTCAATCTGTTCCGCCATCCGGTGACCCTTGTTATTTATAAACTGCCAAGGCATAGCGGTGTAAAGAACAAAGCCGTTCATTGACATATGTACTGCAAAGAATATGGATTTTGTTTTAGGGAATTTAGGTAAATGTAACCTTTACAGAAGCGGCTTGTTACAGATAAAAATATTCCATTTAGTCTCTCACAGGTAACAATGACTAGGTTATTTTGGCAACAACCAACCTGGCTGTACAATATGGTGAGGCAGAAGTCAAAGGGTAGCTGTCTGACAGTCAGACCGGTGACACCTCTTGCAGGGGACTTAGCCTCTCCGTGGCTGTATTGGGCGATCCCGCACAGGTGCTTGGAAAAGCAGAACTGAACACTCTGAAAACTTCAGAGGAGATCCGATGTGACATTTAACTATAGGTAATAAACAGAAGTTCAAGCTGTTTTTTATTAAAAATTATTTTAAAAATAGTCTTGTAAAAGAACAAGCACACTTGCTGTCAAAGTAACATCAGCGTTTCTAAATTAACATTCACTGAGACATACTGTGCAGAAGTGGCATGTCATCTCGGTGCGTGTTGCACAGTCATTGATTGGTGTGGGGCGAGGATGTCCAGTAATGCTGAAAATACAGAATGTGGCAGGGGCAATATTCTGTTACAGTCCAAAGCTGCAGCTTTTACTTGCACATTGCCTGCTTTGTTTGTTGAGTTTAGTTTTTGCATTCCCTTAATCTTACCAGATCTTTCAAGCACCTTTCGTTCTGGCTATTCTAGCTAAAATTGCATTACTTACATTGTGCCTTACCAGTTACAGTCTTCTTATTCACTTGTATCTGCTAAGACTCACAGGTTCCCTCAGCTGTCCCAGTCCTTTTTTTCCTTAAATTCTGTACATTTCTTCTTTAAATTTTGGATGCCATATGTCTGCTTCTTTGTACCCTTCTCAGTGCCAGGAGTAGTTTGAAACCCACTGGAACACTTGGCTCCATTAACTTCACCATCTCCAGTTGTTTCATTCACCAACAAAGGCATTTTCTGCACAATCTTCTCAACGGTCAAGTCTATTTCTTTCTCCTACCAAGGCTTCTCAACATTTCCCTGAAAGAGAATTTGGCTAAAAATTCTGATCATTTTGAAGCTAGCTGCTTCTGCAGACGTAGGGGTCCGTTTCCATATTAGGTACAGCGTGGTCAAATGTTAGCTATTCAGTGCCTTACAAACTCTGTTCTAGCATTTTCAGTAATGCTTTTCAGTTGAGTACCAAAGCGCATCAGGTCCTGCCACAAAAGATCTGCTTTTCAAGAGTTAAGTACCTTTAAGTTTGCTAAGTCTTGAGTAAATTCATGGCATGCCTGTGTCTGGTGTGAGACAGATCTGTAACTTTCAGATTTCTGGTACAGTAGAGGTTTGGTACCTTTTTCTTGTTCTCCTTGGAACTTGAAAGGCATATTACCGTTTTAAGCATCATTTTACTATGGTACTGGATGTTATTTCTTTTGGAACTGTTTCATATAGTCATTAAGCACCTGCTTCTGAGAAGGTTGCTTATATGATATGGTCATCTTCCCCTACACAGCCCTAGACTGACTTTCTGCTGAAAGTACTAGCCAGTTCAGTGGCTAGTACAGTGAAAAGGCATTCACATGGAAGCTGGCAAAAAAATGACCTAATGTTAAGAAAGTTCTATTTTTATATATCTGATTGAATGAGATGAAGAAGGTGTATGGAGGCCAGTCTTGGTTCTCCTCCAGCAATTTATGTTCTGTCATTTTGCCTTTCAAAAGTAACAGTGATGGAATTCTAGGCGAATTAAGTGAGGGTAAAATTATAATAAATTGTGGAACACTTTGTAAACTTTCAAAGGATACTCAGCTTAGGTATGTTCTGTTTGTTTCCTGTTTTCTCTATCACATTTCTTTTCACATTGTTTAGTTTATTAGGGTGGGAATAGATTCAATTAACACGGCCCAAGCCTGTGTTAACTATTACTGTCACTGGAAAATACCCTAATGTCAAGCATCTCTCTCAGATGCCTCTTTGGCATTCACCAAGAAAATCAATGTCCCACTCCCATTGTGGATATATAGTATGTACAGCCTCTCAGCCTATGGGTAGGTCGTACTCTTTGTGGTGTTTAATATACATGATAAATGCAAACGTTTTCCTGTAACACATCTGTTTGCAGGGGATGTGATCAGCCTTGGAGACAGACAGCTCACGGTCATGCACATGCCTGGCCATTCAAGAGGCAGTATTTGCTTACACGACAAAGACCGGAAGATTTTGTTCAGCGGAGACGTGGTGTACGACGGATCCATGATTGACTGGCTTCCCTACAGCAGAGTAAGTGACTACGTTTCAAGCTGCCAGCGCCTCATGGAGTTAGTGGACAGAGGTCTCGTGGAGAAGGTACTGCCTGGGCACTTCAACATATTTGGGGCAGAAAGGCTGTATCGTTTAGCTTCCAACTACATTTCACAAGCTGGAGTTTGTCACAAGGTTTCTACTTGTGCCATGAGATCCATTGCAAGCATAGCGCTTCGCATTACAAATTCGATAGTCACTTCCTAGTGACTGCATTTTGTGTGATGTATTCCCTGTTGAAAAACCAAACAGCTTGTGGAAGTGTTGATAAAAGCAAAAGCAGTATGCATTAGTAAAGAGCTGGCAAATTGATACAGATGAGCTGCAAAAATTCTCCCTATTTTTGCCTACTTCATTCCTATTTTTATAAAAAATGTGTAAGCTAGTAGCTTTAGCCAAAGCTACCATTTTTCTTTCTATTTTTTCAGGGCACGTTTGCACATGTATTGTGATTGAAATATATTGTTTTATTTTTGTTGTGATTCTGACAGATGCATATATTCCAAAATGAGAGGTTTTTACATTCATGCCTGAAACCTCGTTGATGTAGCACTAGGTTTGTGACTATTTACTCAACTCCTGCTCAGGTTTTGGCCTAACACAGCTCGTGCCAAGACCTGGTGTGCGCTGGGAGCAGCGCCATTAGGTCCAAGCAAGAACAGCACCTACGCAGGACTCAGTGGGCAGCAAGAGGTAAGGGCCATTCTGCAGCCGTTGTCACCTGCCGCTCACTGTCTGCTGCACCCATCATCGCCTGCATCTTTGCAAAGCAGCTGTCTGGCAGTTTCTTTAGAATCCACTAAGGTATGGAAATGCTATACACCAAACTTGCGAGCTGGAAGGTATATAGATACATCAGCTTACCCAAAAAGCTTTTGATTCGGATCCAACAGCTGATGGACTGTTGAGATTTTCATGCTTCCCGGTGTGGTGAAGGGGACACCTGCACCATGACAGAGGAGCAAGAGTGAGCACTCTCACTGTTGGCTAGGGAGCTGTTTTGCTTACGGGTGTGCGAGTTAGGAATTAAAAGAATTTGTGAACCAATGAATTAATGTGCTAGACTAGTCTGTACAAAGCGGATTGAGCCCTTGCTTGATGTGTTTGTTTTTTTTCTGATGAGCTCATAAAAAAAAATTTACTTGCAGAGTACATTGTTCTGTAAATTTGAGAGAACTGGACTGTGACGAGCTTAAAGGTTTTATTTGTGTTTAAGAGTATTTTTATGTGACTGGATTGTAATTCGGTTGTTAATGCTCTGTGGTAGGGGAAGGATGGAGGCATTACCATTACCTTGCCCTACTGCAGGTGCTGGATTAAACAGCCAGTACACTTGTTATCACAAAGTGAATGTAACTTGAACTGTTACACTGTTTGCTTATGAAGTGTTTAGTGCATTTTTTTTTTCATGAAAAGTAAAGTGCATTGCATTTGAGTCTGTTCAAAAAAAAGTTAAATACATTGAGAAATGCTAAATGGCATTGTAACTTGCTTATGAAAATTGAATGTGAGATGTTTAAAAGCTGCTGAAATGGTTAAAGTTTGTGTAATTATTCTAACAGTCTATACATATTTAACTTTTTTAAAAGGACACTGTCTGATGTTATTTTTGTATGTAGCCATATATACTTGCCTAAAAACAGTGCAAATGTTTTTCCCAAATTTTAGTGGAGTTTAACCTTATTTGTTTGGCTTTCACTTTATGGGGAAGCTTTTTTTTCCCCCTCTCATCATAGCCAACAGAAAGGGAGCCCAAACTTTGGGCTCTGTCTAAGGCATGGGGGAATGGAAATCAATAGCCTTCTTAATCGGTGTAAATTCTGGTGAAAAAAAAAAGTTGCAAAGTAAAAAGCATCTCTGTCTAAAAATTTTGAAAGAGAGTATCTTATATAATGCTTTTCTCCTTTCACAGATCACTGCACTCCTGCCTTTACTATTTGAATATATTCTTCACCAGGATTTGTACTGATAGCTTGTGACGTGCCTAGTTCTTGTTAGCCGTGCCTATCTCCAAGCTGAAGCAAAATTGTGAGTGGGCAGGACAGGTGTAGCAATGCAACGCTTGAAAGACCTGTTATCACTCGGATCATGGTCTCTTTTCTGGAGAAATCCAGGTACATCAGTGTATTACATGAGGAGTGGTTAATCAGTGGGTAGACTTCTGTCATAAATGAAGCTAAGAGGTTTTTATCTTGGCCTCATTCAGCCAGAGGAAGAAATACAAAAGGTTAGCCCGGGAAGCAAAAAAACCATTTAGTGAAGAGGCCCAGAACAAACTCCACAGTGTGGTTTTCCTTTTTAGCCTGCTGACACATGCTGCTATTCACGCAGCAGTCCAGACACTGTTCTTGATAGCCAAAGGTTCATGGTGGACAATCACCGATCTGAGGTGGCAACCCGGAAAGTCAGAATGGCAGAAAAAATACATAGCACTGAAGCTTACACCAGTTATCCAGATGAAGCCATGGTGTCACCGGTTACCCAACAGTAATTGACTAAATTCCTTCAAATTAGCCATCTGTGGCATAAACCCGGTAGTAGTCTTGCTTTGTGAAGGCTGTAGGAGCACTGGTGATAACCCTGCGCAATAACGCGGACAGAGAGACCTCTTCTGTCAAAAGCCTGACAATACGTATGCCAGCTGCTGAAATTTTGCAAATGTTCATTAGGAGAGTGAGATCACGTTGAATTAGCATTTTGTGTTACACCACTATCGGTTTGTTTATTTGATCCAATATTAGAAGCCCTGTAGCCAGATTTTACTGTATTGTAAAACCTGAGCTCCTAAGAGAAGGCTCACAGGCATGCCAATTCAAAAGGAAAGATGCCCTCCATCGTTTGTGTTTAAATCTCTGCTCAGCATCAGCTACAAGATCCCTAAATGTCCAGATCACTGTCAAAATGCCCTATTAAGCCATGCTTAAGTCCATTAAGTATACGCAGATAACGGCAATTGCCAGGGTTTTTTTCCTTGACCAAAATCTAGGGAATAATTTCCTAGCTCAGAAGTGAGCTTTACATGAACATAGCCCAAAATGGGGCATGTTAATAAACTGCTGCTATAATCCAGTCAAAAGTAGTTTTTGAGGGTCTTAAAATTATTTTTGTATTACAAGAAATTCACTACTAGGTCAATGATATGTCTTAAGTATAAAGAACTGGCTCTGACTATTTTTGTTAAGAATTACCAAGTTTTAGTTGTAAGAGTTTGACAGTGTCCCTTTAACACTACTTGGATTAAATATTTAAAACATACATTGTAAGTTTAAATATTGCAACATCTTGGGCATTTAGAACTGTGTAGATTTATTTGTAAAATCTAAATGTATGTTAATGCAGTTTTCAGTAGATTGGCAAAAAAATCAGATGGGAAGTTTTGCTCTGTAATCTGTCAAGACTTTTGTGATGTTAAACAACAGTTTACACATAAAAAATACTTTTACCGTAGATAATCGTAATAAAAAATGTTATAATCCTATGCAGTCCAGTCATAATTTCTAGGTATTTTTAAGAGAAGCACTTCTTCATTCTAAATGGAGTGTAAAATCTTTAGAAATTGCTAGCAGTGTTTTTCATGCTTCTGAGCAAGAGACTGCATTAGAAATGTTTAGATATCATAGATGGATGCTGCAAAGCTTTTATAAAACCATGGGTGGGTACTTCTTGGAAAAAACCCTACATTTTAACACAAATCAGAATTAGGTTTGCAATGGAATTTGTACATAGAAAACATGGATGGGATGAAAGTATATATTTGGGTGTCAGTTTCAGGTTGTGGTGACCTAGACTATTATTTCCACACAAGACAGTAGCTAATGGCAGCTGTTTACTGTACTTGAAACAAAAATGGTCACATAGCTTCTGTTCAACACACAGCTGGAGCTTGAAAGAACGCCTAGCATACTTGCTGTCCAGTTTCTGCCAGAAGATAAGACTCCTTATTAACCGACAAACTGTAGAAGTTTTGTGGAAATTAGTCTATGAATAACAAAAGCAGCAGCGGTCATGAAAACCAGCAGAAAAGAAACATGCCTGTGTAAAGTCAAGAATAAATGACGAAGGTGAAGTGCAGCTGTTCATTTAAAGATGAGGATATCCTTCCTTCCAGACAACCGATAACTGGACTTCAGGGATATGTGGTTGTTCAGTTAATAGGATGCATTTGTTTTCCTCCCAGGAGTTCCAGGGTCAAGGTGCAGTCTTCAAGACAACCTCTTTGCACATTAGTGCAAACACAATCTTATTTTCAAAGTTAGTCTACCTTGTTAAATTTTGAATTTTATGAGGTGCTGAAGACAGAATCTGAAGGCAAATACAGGTAGAAATAAGGTGACTTTATGAGGGAAATGAATGAATTGTAAGTAATTATGAGGGAAATAAGGCAATTAAATGCAAATAATTGAAAAATATGATAATGTTGGTTTTATCTAAAGAATAAAAAAATTAGCTTGGGAGCAGCCAGCTGGGAGGCTCCACTTCTCAGATTAGGTTATTGGGGTCCTCCACCCAGCCTTGTTCCTCTGTCCTTTTTGGTGATGCGGAGGAGTCTTTTATGATACAACCTAACAATTGGGACTAACCCCACTGATCGTGTGTCACCGTTTCAAAGTGCTGCACAACTGTGTATCAATGATTCCCCATTACATGTCTAGGAACAAGGTAACTTCTAGTGGAAGTAAGACACCTCAGATCTGAGTTTATAAAATGTGGCAGCCCACAACTTCCACTCTGGGTCTAATGAAGGATGTGCAAAGCCTTTCTCTGTCACCTGGGGTCAGTAGTAAGTTCAGACGCACATCAAGAGTTAGCGGCACTGTGTCACCACAGCACACTACAAAAAGATTTTGGTGCCCCAGTTGCAATCATTTCACCTCCTGTTCTGCCCTGGTGTTTGCAGCAGGAGCACTCGGAATGCAAGGCGTCAGCAGAATCCATCACTGTCACTACTACTTTCTCAATTATCGGTTTGCCAACAAGTTGAAGGAAGTTTGTTACATGTACTGTGAAAATCATCATATTTGACATCAGATTTGATACAGTAAATTGTCCTAGCAACAAGAATGAGCATTTTTCATTGGCATTCAGCAGATAAGGGGACAGGTTTGGTTTGCAGATGAGAAATCGAAGAAGTGCTTTATTGCACTTCTTTGCAGACAAGTAAGAAAGAGAGGGCTGAGAAAGACCATCTTGAGGTCACCTAGCACCACCTTCATGCAGAGAAGCAGAATGTTTGCTTAAAACTAGAGGTTCCCAGGTCTGCCTGCCCCCACTTCTTCCTGTTTTCCATCACTTTTTCACTTTCTGGTCCCTCAACTGCCTCATGTTTCTGGCCTGACACCAACTTTTTCCTTCGTCCCACATCCTCTGCTGCTGCCTCCTCACACATACCCAGACTTCTGTCTGTGCCTCGCCATGAGTTCCCCCACCTTTGTTCTCTTCTTCCTCACTCTGAGAATTGGCCTCTTCTACTTCACAATATCTGAAATCTGCCATCTCTGGAGCACTGGGCCTGGAGCACAAGATAAGAAACCCAACAGAGAAAGGGCAGCCCTGTGGCTCACCGTCGGCCATAAAGGTCATTCCACAATGCCTTATTGATCGACCTACGCTTTTCTTCATATTCAGTCCAAGTTACCCTTTTCTACAAACTAAGCTGTTATTCTTGGATGCAGTGTCCGTATAACATCTTTTTACATAGCAGAAAACTGTTACCAGTCAGCTACCATAAGCTTAAAAACATGACATATAAGGAAAGATTTAATTCCTTTGTTTTTCTCTCCATGTCTTTCCAGTTTCTTTATTCCTGTCCTAAACTATGCTCTGCAAAACTGCATGCCACTCAAGCTTCGCCAGCACCAAGCAGAACAGAACAGGTTCATCCTTGCCTTACATGTTTGCTCCCTTCCGAATACATCATGTTGCTGATTTGTATTTCTGGTCCCTTGTAATCTCCAAGTTCTGTTCTGTAATAATATTTGCTATCCAGTTACTTCCCATCTTGCATTTCTGCACTGTTTTCTCCTGTGAAATAAAGCACTGTCAACCTGCCTTCATTCCATTTCCTATCACTGATTCCAGACCACCTCGTCAATTTATCAACATGATTTTGAATTCTGATACTGCCTTCCACCATGCTTGTAACCCCTCCAGCCTCTGTGTGGAGGGTATACGCAGTTGTCCTTCTTACAGCTTACCAGGTGAGGAAGGAAGCCGCAGAGTTTGAGGAGACTGCTTTAGTCACACAGAGTATCTTTGCGTAAGTAACAGCATCCTTCAGGCTGCCTCACACCTTTCTTTCGCTGTGCCTTCATCTCATATTCAGCCTATGCTCTGCTCATGCAGAAAGGATTTCTCTACAGCAATCAGTGGTTCAAATCAGCTTTGGTTCATTCTTCGGCGCTTTGAATTTAAGTTTTAAAATGTAAAATTCTATTTTTCATACTGCTGTGCATGCAATCTGATTCCAGTCTCTTACCGGTTACTTACAATTTTTATTTACAGCAACTATGAATGTGTTGCATTGTTTTTGTCATATTGAACTACACCTTGTATTTCACAACAGATGCTACGTTGTGAGGTAGCTATCTCAGAGGAGTAAGGGGTCTTTATAATCATCTTTCTAATACACATGGAAATGAAACAGTCATTTTAATTACTTCAGTACTACAGCATCTCATTTTATTTTTGCATCAGTCAACATCTCTATTTGCCATCATGTCACTATGAAAGAAACATGGGATGCTTCTGCTAAAAAGAATATTCTCAGGGACAGGAAAAAAAAAAAAGCATCCTTACTGTTAAATCCTAGACAGTAGGATGCTATATAGCAGAGCTCAGAATGAGCTTTAGAACAAGTGCTGTTAAAGCCTAGTGTAACACCTTGCCGTTTAAGAACAGACATCTATAGCCAAAGAAAACAAAAAATGGAGATCTGTTAGGAAAGAGGGAGGGAGATAAGGGTGGAAAAAGATATGGCAAAGGAGGAATTATGAATATTTAACTTTTAAAATCTAGGTCTAAGAATTCAACCAACACTGTTTCAAGTTACTATTTATAATTAATGCAAGTATTACTGAAATGATTAAGCAGTACCTCTTCTGTCTAAAAATTCAACCAGATTTCATCCAAAACTAATTCTTCTTAAGTCCCCTCACTTCCAAATGGAATTAGGAAGCACAGAAACAGATACAATTGAAAAGCAGTCAGAAAACACTCGTTAGGTTTTATTTTAAATTTAACATTATTTGAAGCTAAATATTACATAAGGGTTTTGCTGGTAAAAACATGTTAGGTTATATTTGCACTGCGCACATTGGTGCAGCACAGGGATATCCAGGCTAGTCAGAAAGCAATCTAGTCCTCTGAGACAACTCTAGTGTGATGTTAAATCACTTTACTACTAGCTTATACATGAACACCGCATTGCTTTGTGTAATCATACCTCAAAGTCAGTTAATGCTCCTACAGAGTACTACATACAGGCAGAATATCCCTTCTCTGCTCCTCTCCTATATTCCTAAGTAAAGACAATAAAAGTTATTATCTTCCTACCTGCCTGTGGTGTGCAGGTGCGGTAAGCCTGGGCCGTGTAGGGTGGGCTGGAGGACAAGCAGCAGATGACTTCCGCGGCACAAGTACAGGCAGGAGCTGCCTCCAGGGCAGGGGCAGAGCAGCGGTGCTTTGCTGTGCTGAGAGGAGGAACACATGGGAAGGTGCCGCGAGGGACTACAACCTTCTGCACGAAAAAAGGTGTCTAAATTTACCATGAAAATAAAATAGGCTTCATTGCATAATTATAGAGTAAAGTAGAAACCAACGGTGTTATAAGCCTGCTCTTTGCTTTTGCTGTGCTATGCAAAACCATTTTCAGTACATGGTTCCTCCAATGATTCAGCTTTTATTGGACGGGCTAATCTCACCAATTTAGTAACTGACTTTGTCTGTGTGTGTTCCTGTATGTGCCCAGCAGTGCCCTGGGAAGGTTACGAGGCATTCAACAGCAATTAAAATTGGAAAGCACAGGAAAAACAAACAAACAAAAGAACCCTGACACAGGGAGAAGGACTCAGGAGAGGTCCTTGGCCAACACTTTCATGACTGTACCAGAGCTAGAGAGTAAGGTATTTCCCAGCAGTTTGATCCAGACGTACACAGGAGTACATTTCCAATCATCAAACAGGCAAGGACACGGTATGTTTTTAATATGGCTTTACATTTTCACACTGATTTTGTGCCGTATGATTTGCTGGAAGAGTGACATGAACAAACAACAGTTGAACTTACATGAAATCTGCCCAAGCAAAACTACTCCTTTAAAATTTTTTTGATTAATTTTATTGACAAAGCAGCTTCTTGCTTTACATCAGAAGGTTCCGATATTTGATCTGATTTTGAACAGCCGGGATGAGGTTTGTAATCTCCTGGGCCCTCAAATTCAGCTTGGGACAAGGGAACAGTAGAGTGGTTTCAAGAACTA